TACTCACAGAAGCAGTATAATATAATTTTATAAACTATTATGAATACAAGATAGTGCCCTGTGGTTATTAGAATTCCTACAGTGAGCAATATGCAAGAGAGTGGACTGCCTAATCTACCATATCTGTCCTTTTTCACATTTAATATAGTTCATGGCTGGTGTTGCAGGACACAGTACATGTAAGTTAGTAATTCTGAATGATTTTCAGAGAATTAATTTTTCCATGGAAATGGAGTTTGGAGATTGGTTATCAAATTTCTCACAGACATAAATAGTTGTTTCTTTTCACCCATACTGTCTTTTGTCCTCTATGGTCATGCTTAAATGATACTTAGTGCTAGATCTATGCACTATTTGATGGCCGAAAAGATAGGCTGGGCTTGGGCACATGATCGCATTCCTGTCGAATTAGCAGAGCAAGCAATGCTAAGTTCATAAAGGATTTATGATTTTGGCTGTCTGTGCGAGAACAGACAATAGCCTCTCTGGTGTGAAGCTTTGCAAGTGCAAAGATATTCCATCAAAATGTCTGGAACAAATTTGATCCGACAGAGTGATTTTTATACTAGATCAATCTTTGTGCCCTATTTCTGTGACATTATATGGATTTTCTCTGCCACAGAACAAGTATCAAACTGGATTTTTTTATCAGTGAGCGAGGGCTGTATTCAATGCTTGAGAATGGGATTTCCAGGGATCTGAAAGCTGACACAGAGGTGTCTTAAGCAGCTGTTAACAAATAAAGCAGCTGAATGTGCATTGCTGAAGGGAGTGTTAGGGAAGGCAATGGAGCTTGATTACAACCCATTCCATGTGCCAAACCTTCTTACCTTGTGTTGAGTGTTGCAACTCACCTAGAAGGCTTTCATGGATGGGTAAGTGAGAGTCACTGGTTAATATTTTCTTCTCTCCTTTTATGTAATTTTCTTCCTCTTTGTGTGTGTATATGTATATATATATTTATAAATGTATAAAATATGGGAAGAGAAATCTGATGCACAGAACAATGAAGAGCAGTAATCCATTTAAATAGTTTTTAGTCTAATTTGAAAATGGCTGTAGAAGTGTTGCAACAGCACAGTACTCCTTTGCAAGCACAATTGAAATGCATATAAGCAGCTTAATCATAGCACAAAAGTTGATGGCTTTGAAGAGCTTAAATGTCATTCTGTTCAGAGGTCTGGAACTGAAGACTTCTCTTGATAGTTTTCACATTGGTGGAAGATTTATCTTTCACCATTCATCCTCTTTATGTTTTCTTGCTTCACATGGATAGTGTTCTGGATTGTGAGCCTGATTTCTAATGGAGATACAGCTTCAGGAGAAGGTCACTGATTCAGCACAGCTGTTTTTACTGTCATGAGCTAAGGTGCTGGCATAGATTTTGTGCGGTTTTTCACAGTCACAGAATCTTTTCTGTGAGGCTTAAAAAATCCAAACATACACACAAAGTTAGAACATTTGTAGAATAGCTGATGCACTAAGTGTTTGTTAAATAGATAAACTGAAGGTAGGTCCAAAATGGGAAAGTATTTGAGTTGCTTTTCTATCCCTATGCTTTTAGTATAAATATTCTGATTGCATTTTGTGATTAAAGAATGTGCCACTTGTTTTGGAAAAATGACTTACAAAATTATTCACTAGGTAAACTGAATCCACATTGTGCAGTTTTGGGAAAACTAGTTTGTCAGGGAATTTGCCAGGGAGCACAATGTGCAGCAAATCTGAAGCAGCATAAAGTAGTGAAGCTACTGAAGATCAATGTTCTTTAGTTTCTGTATTACACACAATGTTCAAACTGTTTTGTCGTACCATTCCTGTATACTAGAAGAATTTGTTAAATTTTTCTAATTGTTGAAATTTTTGCTTAGTGCTCACAGGGTAGGTCAAGCACTTGGTTGCTTTGCTCACAGGATTAAAGCTGTCTTGGTCAAGGTGTCATTGTGAGTCTTTTCCCTACTGGACATTTTCCAGGGTTATGGTATGATACTTATTCAGCATTTGTTCTTATAGCCTGACTCAAATGGGCTTTGTTTGCCAAAGAGTTTTCTAAGCCAAGTCTCTATACAGTCACCCATTTCACATCCTTGAATTTTGTTCTGTCTTTGCAGATGTCCAATACGCCTTTTAAACACAGTTGCAGTCAGTATATACCTTTGTGAGGTTCAATGCAAAATACACCAGTGTTTTTCTAAGTTAACCCTCTCAGGTTTTAAAAAACATCCAACAAATAAAACATACGTGTTGGAAGAAATTGTGTTATCTTTTGGTTCATTGTTTTTTTCCGGAATTTTCAGGTATTTCAGGAGGAAAGGGAGATCTAGTTAGTGAAGAATGAAGCAAAGATCGCATTGAGTACCTCAACCTTCTCTGCACCTGCTGTCACGACATCACTGGCCCCAATCAGCAAAGCACCTGCATTTTCCTTATTTGGTGTTTTACTGTTAATGGGGTGGCTGAAGTCCTTCAAGTTGTCCTTGATGTCCTTTACAAGCATCAACTCTAGATGAGCTTTTGTTTTCCTAACATCCTTATGTGGCCCAGCAACATTTCTAAATACCTCCTTTGTAGTCTGTCCCTCCTTCACACTCCTCCACGCTGCCTTTTTGCATTGCCCTGGTTAGCCACTGTCCTGATACATCTGCTTGTTTTCTTGAGAATTAGAATGAGCCTTTCTTGTGCATGGAAGTTGTGGTCCTTAGGGGCCTGCAACTTACCTGAACTCCTTTGCTTTCAGACCTGCCCCTTATGGGATCCCACCTCCCAGTTTCCTAAAACCAAAGTCTGCTCACCTGGAGTCCGTGACACCCTCCAGGAACCTTGTTCACTGCTTGTACCTGCCGTGTTGCACTTCCAGCAGATGCCATGAACTCGAGAGCCCTACATGAGAAACAGGTCCTGCAATCTACAAGCTTCCTTGATTTGCTTAGAGAAGACTTCATCACCTCCCTCACCCTGATCAGAGTGCTGTGCAACACGCTCCCATTTGTAATGTAACCCATGTCAAGTGTGGCTTTGTAACTGCATAGGAAGCTCTAGTTCCTCTGTTACTGTCACAGGTGGGAGTGGAAGGCTTAGACAAGGTGATTAAAGGAGCCCTGCTGTTGGACACAAGGTGCAGGAAGGACTGGCTTTCTAAACTCCTTCTCAGAGAGGAATTTAGGAGCAGATGAATCATATCTTAGCCTCGGATTGTGTCAACGGTTTAAATTTAAAGGAATTATAGAGGCGTGATTAAGTCACTTGGTCCTGCAGGTTTTAGTGATGGCAAATTGGCTATATTTACATAAAATGAATTATTTATTGTGACAAATGAACAGATGAGTGAACAGGCAAAAGATCCTAATCAGAATTATTTACTACATGGTATAAAGGCTAAGAACCTCCTCATAGAGCATAATATAGCATAAAGTAGTAGAGTTGCAAACTGTATCGAAGCGATTATATTCAAGCAATTGTATCAAAGCTAGCAAAAGAAACAATCATTAAGTAGAGATTGATATAACTTACCATACAAAATATCGGTCAGATCTCTCTTTCTCTTAACCCTTGGGGAGTAACCATGAAGGGGTGACCCTGCTTCATGGGAGAAGCTCCACACTTCAAGGAAGTATGTGGAAGAATCTGCTGTATGAAAGTTGGACGGGGCTTTTATAGTTATAAAGTGATGGACCGGTAGTCATATTTACAGGCCAGCGATCAGCTTATCTGTTGAATCCTGCTTCAGAAAGCAGAATGTGTGTTTGAAGTTTGGTGAACCAGACTGGTTTGAGCAAAATTCAACACCAAACCACCACTTGGCACCAGCTGTAGCTCACCAAAGATAACTTGCCTGAAGGCTTGCACTGTATACATTCTCTGATCAGATTCTAGGCTTTATCCAGGTAGGCCATCCTGCCACTGATATGTTTCCCAGGCTGCAGTTGTGTGCATTCCCCCCTAAGGCTGGTGTCTCTTTGCTACATTTTATCATTCCTGAGGTCTCTTGCGTTCCTGTTGCCCTACACCTTTTGCTTTAATTACTCTTTACACTGTAATTCCCTTTGTTCGGCAAGAGAGGGTCAGAGCACTGTACCTCTCCTCCCCACATCTTGCCCACCTTCTCTTTCCTTGTTACTTGCCCTACGCCTCCTCAAGCACCCAGCATTGTGGCTGCAGTTAGAAATGCTGATCACAGAGTGTGCCATACAGAGCCAGTGAGCTGTAGACAGCAGTCAGAGCCATGGGCTGACAACTGCTGTGCACTCCTACCAAAATAAACGGAATTATGATGAGGAATGGATAAGTTTTCTCACACCTGCAGAGGGCTAAGGGTTTGGTACTTTTTGGAGTGGAAGCTTACCAGGAATTACTTGGAAGTAGAGGATTAGATGGGCCACGCTTCTGAAGACCTGCAAAGTCCAGATACTTGGCTTGCCCTGCCGAGGGCTAGGTTTGCTTCTGAGTAGAATGAGCTGAAAAGGTATTGGTGATACTTCTGTTGTGTGTAACTGCATTTTAACTGCTCTGTAGCATGCAGCATTAACATCTCTCTGTTCTTAACTGTAACATTTAATAAGGGGTGTATCAGCAAGCGTAAAAGTGCCTACATTTTACTGTAACAGAAATAGAATTGTAATAATTTAAATCCTGTTGACCACTGTGGAAGTGAAAATGAGATCTAGTTTTAGCTTCTGCAGAATTCAATCTATAAAACTGCTCACACAAAGCTAATATGCAAACTACTTGACTGTGAGAAGAGTTGTTTTCAGACCTCATTAGATAAGGATCCCTGTTCAGGAAAAAACAGATAATCTGCTTCAAAGAGTGCACTTACTGCTGCTGCTGAGGTGTCTTTCTTCAGGCCAATAGGTGCATTTGGATCAAGAAACATTAGAGATTCTAGGTCTTGTGGAAGTCTTGTGTTCCATCATTTTGATGTTGTGAATTTTTTTGGATGTGTCAGTGTTCAGCCCAGCCTGTTAACAGACTTGTCTCAACTTTTTGGATAACTCTGCCAGGTACAACTTTCTTCCCAGACTGAACTGACCGGGATACACAACATGCACAACAGCACTGCTGGAACTCTGCAAGTGGCTGCAGTGTGTAATGAGACTTGGCCCACCCAGTCACCGAGCTCTGAGTTCTCACTGGGAGTGTTGGTGCTGCTGGCTGTTCTCATGGTGCTGCTGTGTCTGGTCACCATCCTTGGAAACGTGCTGGTGATCCTTGCTTTCATCGTGGACAGAAGCCTGAGGCATCAGAGTAACTATTTCTTTCTCAATCTTGCTGTTTCTGACTTAGCAGTGGGTAAGTCACAGTTGTGGAGGCCTGTACTGCTTGTGTCCTGGGAATCTTGGGAGAAGTAATGGGTTTTATTTTCTGTGTGTTTTCTTCTAAGAGAACTATTTCCCAGATGTTTTTAGGGGAAGGGAAAGGAATAGTGGAAGCTGCATGATTTGTTTTAGCAGGCAGTGATGCTTCACAATATGTTGTAATGAGAAATGCATCCCTTTTCATGTAAATACTTTTAACGTTGCTTCAGGAAAAAGGAGCAACTATTACATGTGAATAGTAACTGAAGGAAAGGTGTTTTTTGCGACAGTTTGTGATTTACCCTTGCCACTCCTGTAAGACTGTTTACACAATTCAGAAAATCCTTCTTTTTGACAGTGTGTTTTCTATACAGCTATGTGTGGTACATGCAGATAAATGAATTACTTCTCTACATAGTACTATTAGTTTTTGAATGTATTACACTGCAACAAAATAGTTTACCACCAGGACTTTTTACTGGCTTCAACTTAGCACAGGCTATTGATCCTGTGGATTGTTTGATATCAGTAACACCCTGATGGCATCTCCCATCTGTATTCCTTATTGGTCCCCTCTTCCCATAGTGACATTGCAGAACTCCAGACGCGTTGGTCACTGGAGGTGCTGTGGATCCAGTCCTGACTGGTGGTGCCAAGTGAGGAGGTGGGGGCGTGAATGTCTTGTGCAGCACTCCTCCATGGTTCAGGCTGGGGAAACAGCCCATGCAGCAGAGAAAGCCTGACAAAACCATGGTGTTGTGGCAGATGTGCCAGCAAACACCTTGACTTCAGGCTAGCAAAGAAGTATTTCTGCACACAAGTGCTTTGTCTTTGTGACAGTCACAGAGACCAGTATTCACAGAGTAGGGAAATAGCCCTCACTGACCCACTGCACATCTGGCAACACAGTCTCCCCTAAATGCTGTTCCTTCATCAGTGCTGTGTAGTGAAGTGTGTTATTCTAGCCTTTAAGGTTTTCCTTTATTTCTGCCATTTATAAGCTGTGGTGCCTTATTCTGGGACTCGCCCTATGGTGCAGAAAACAAATGATGCATCTGCTGAAGCCTTTGTTTTCCTGCCCAGGCAGCTGGAGCTGCTGTTTCATAGCTCAGGTCTTCTGCAAAAGTCTGGTTTTCCTCATATCTCATAGTTTAATCAAGAGATTTAAATATCTATCTTCTGCTGGTGCCTCGTGTAGTCTTAAATCAGCCACGAGGAAATGATTGGTATCAGTAACCTATATAGACCGTGTAAATCCAAGATTTGTTCTCTGGTATTGGTCAGGAAATACTTTATTTTCTGAAGCTGCTGTTTGGTTTTTTAAATTATTTTTGTTTTGTTTCGTAATGTTTGGTTGGTTGGTTGGTTTTGGTTTTTAATGTATTAAAAGTCTGGAATCTTTCCAGGAATGTGACTCAAGTCTTTTGCATCCACTAATTAGTAAAAGTGAGAACAGTTTGAAATATAAATACTTAAAACCTGGTTCTTGCCTCTATGTTTGTATCTATAGCAAAAACCAGTAATTTCTTTTTGACATGAAAATAAACATTGATCCCATAGAAGCTGATGAGAACAGTAGCTGTCATGAGCAACTATGGAAAATGAGTATTTTGTTCAAAAGTATTGCTGCTTGTATCTAGGGTAAGTGTTAAACAAGCTATCATTATTGACAGAGCAGTTCACATTTCCCTGTTGATAGCAGTCTCTCAGCTCACTGCCCAGGGGTTTATTGTCAATAGGCCACATAGCCTGGTAATGTTCAGTAGCTTCTAAGGTCTTGATGGACATATCAAGAAAAGAATAAGCTGGAGAGTTTAAAATGAATCTTGAAGCTGCATGAAAACTTTCTGTTTGTCTCTGGCAGATCAGCATTTCCAGGAATGTAGTATCAAATATTGCACCACACTTTTGAAAAAATATTAGAGGTAAAATGAAGAAGTTGCTGGCTTAAAAATAAAACAGAAACATGGTTTTCTTAATTAAGTACTTCTGTGGAAGGTGTTTTGGACAAAACCCAAATTTATAGACAAAAAATTGGTTCTGGAGTTATTCTCATGTGGAGAACAAGCACAAGATTAAAACACTCCTTAAAAATGAGAGTTTCATACTTCTGCTGTATCTGACCTATCTCTTAGAAAAGATATTTGCCAACACCACACAGACTGTCTAATATATTGTCTTTAGCTTACAAATGCTAACCAATCTTAAAATGAAAACTGCCATTGGCAACAGCTGCAGATGTGCCTGGGGGAAAGCTCTAAAAGATAAAAGACTAGAGGAAATACAGTGATGAGGTTACATGTCAGAATACAGTCACAGTGCATATATGCTGCAGCACTAATTATGTACCTCTAGATAGTATAAGTTGGTTAGACTGCAGTTTTCTTCTTCAAAGGATCCTTCTTTGCTGATTTTCTTTGAGCTTATTTCCAACAATCAGCACACGTAAATCATACTAAGATCTAATACACAGAAAGTCACCATCAGATTCCATGAGAATTTAGGAATTTCTGTATGTAAATCACATATCCACTCTAATAAATTTGTTAATATCATTTACCCAAATAGCAGAATAATGTGTTTCTCTGCTTCCAGGAGTACCGTTTGCAGTCCATATGAACTGTGTGGTGTCTTTGTGGTTGCTTTCCATAGGTGTGTTCTGCATACCTCTCTACATCCCTTACAGCCTGACAGGAAAATGGCACTTGGGAAGAGGTGTCTGTAAGCTCTGGCTGGTTATGGATTATCTCCTGTGCACAGCTTCAGTGTTTAACATTGTTCTGATCAGCTATGACCGTTTCCTGTCAGTTACTCGAGCTGTAAGTACCCTGTTTACAGCTTCTCTGATTTTTTTGTCAGAGGATTATATTCACCAACCTTTGCTATGTTCGTGAGTGTAAGCCCAAAATTTACTTGAGATAATAGCTCTCAAAAATATACTGACATGTGGAGATTATTAGATATTTGCAGCTAGATGGGGTGAATATTCCGCACTGAGCACGCTCTAGCACAGAGCTGGTCAACCAGGACTTTTCTCACAATTTCTGCTTCAGGTTGCTGTTGTGCTACTGCTTGAGGAAAAGCAGGCTAAGGGGTAAAAAGGGTGAGGCACGAGACTGGTAAAAAAGAGGCAAGGAAAGAGGAAACTCAGAGTAAACTGGATTTGGGTTTGGACATAAAATCAGGCCTGGGAGGAAAAGGCAGTGGAGCTAAGACAGTGAAATAAAGGACATCAGGGAGGATGTCTAGACCTGAGATGTGGTCACAAATGATCCTTGAGAAGATTGGGAGAAAGAGCAAAGAGGCAGAGAGAGGGACAAGGGGTAGACTGCAGTGATGGCCTGTAGAAATGTGGCAATAAACTCCTCTTGGAACAGAATCCCAAACATCAGATGCACTCTGCCTTCTGCAGAGCATCCTATACATGTTGTGTGTGCTTTATATCTTTGGTAATGTTAAAAATGGAGGCCAGCATTTCTCAGCAGCTATGCTGTTAGCTCAAGTGGCAGGGAATGTTAGGGAGAACTAGTGGTTCCAGCTCTTTTGTGATGCATGACACTGTCAACATAACATCATACAATAGAATTTCAGTCTTGTTTTTGTTAATTGTAATTGATTCCACTTATTATAATTACCTTTATCTTAAGTTTTATTATTTTATTTTAAGGAAAAAGTCTAGGAAATCAAACACCAAAACATCTGACATGTAAGAAATGTTACATTGGAAAGCCAAAGATTCAGTATTTACAAAATGCAAAATTCAGAGCACCTGCATGAATATGACATTAACTCAAACTTTTGTTTTCAATTGGATATCTAAGCTCCCAGAATTATTTACTCTGTCATCCTGTGAAAGGGTGGAATAGGATGTGATCTGCAATATATCTCTCTGTCTGCAGCATAAAGTGGAAAATAAGTACTGGCCCTGGAGTGGTCGGAGAAGGAAGAAAAGGGGTAATTTTGTAGTTTCATCAGCTAAGGGCTGCATAGCAGAGCTGGAATCTATTCCTTCATTCCTATGAAATGTCCAATAAGCAATTTTCTTAAAGTTCGTTGTTAAATCTATGTACCACATTTTCTGTTGATTTCTGTAATGCATATAGCATTACTTGTTTACAAAATACTGTAAAAAGCAGTGCAGTTGTCAGGGAATGGGAGTCATGCTCTTAACAACTATAAGGTACTAATTACTCTGGCACTTCAGATCATAGGTGTCTCAAACAAGGCATACCTAATTACTAGGTACCGATGGATGATCATGTTTCATCCCCGGGACCACGATCCTTGTACAGCTACACTAACCTGTAGAGAGACAACCCTATGCTATGTCAACACTGATGAATTAAACATGCTTGGGTGAGCTTCAGCTGATCAGCACAGCCACAGCTCTAAATTACCAAGCACTCTGATGACTTCTTCTGCCACTTCTCTTGGTTCTAAAATGTATCAAAAATCTGACCTTTTTCTTTCTTTTTCCCTTGTAGGTATCTTACAGAGCCCGACAGGGAATAACATCCAACCCTGCCATCAAGATGGTGGCCATATGGATCTTAGCCTTTCTCCTGTACTGCCCAGCAATCCTCCTTTGGGAGCACGTGGCCGGACAGAGCGCAGTAGCGGCAGATCAGTGCTA